ATAAAAACAAAATATTAGAAGATAAAGTATAATGTCTGTATAAACATAATGATAATTTTAAATACCTAAATGATGAGATGTGTTAATACTTTATAATTGCTAACAAAAGTACCCTTGCTACGCTAAGCATCAAACGTCACCTTCGTTTGACATCGGCTTCGTGTATTTTGCTAACAACTTCTTGTGTAGCCCTCATTCTCTTCATGTGCCAGTCACACCTCTTTTTCGTCTTCAATGAGTCCTGGTATTGGCGAAGGGCCTCGCCAACACTGGATAGTTTTTTTTTTGTTGTTGTTGTTGTTTAAAGTTAGCATAAACTTTACGGACTTACGTCGCTAAAATTCGAGGTTTGATTCCCTGTAGTGGATAAAGTGCAAATAGCCGTTGCGTAGCGTTACACTGAGACAATAACAACACTAATAAATATATAGGGGCGCTGTGCTAAATACGCATCATAAGCTTTTTTTATTATTTTGGGTTTAAGTAGGAAGCTTGATCAAGATTTGTTACTTCTGATTACAAGTGTTACGACCGAATTTTATCAATAATTTTCACGCTAAGCCCCAGACACTTCATCAACACGGCTACCGACTCAGCCTCTGGTTTGTTTCATGGAGGAGAAGGGGAGTTTTACAGAGTTGTGTGAAGTAGGAGAATACAAGAACTATAAGTTTATCACGAGATAAAAGAGTCGTGATAGTATATATATATACGTTATATTCTCATTATAAATATAAAATTTCACCACTTACGAAAACAAAAAAGTTCTAGAACGTTTTAGTTCCTGAAAGCAGTGATTGGCTATTTTAACTGGCTCCTCGTGTCAGTCACGGTACAAGATCATATAAATATTCTACCATCTCTTCCGTGACGTATTTTGATCGACTTTCATCAGAATTATGTTAGAAGTTACGTAATGGGATTATATACGGACACCGCGAAGAGGATTGGGTAGATTTTTTTAACTGTTTGTACATTGTTTGTCTCTAATATCCCGTGAACTAAACCTTTCGTTTAAGAAGAGCGTGTTCCTCCTCTGCAGCTGTCGAAGGAAAGTAAAATACCCAGCACGTGACTTCCTGCCACGCGTGTCTCCTCTCTGTAAACACGTGGATGCACACTACCAGAAACGTGGCCTCACAAGCTCAAGTGCTACAAGATGAAATCTCTCGTGTCTGTTATTACATTTTTCCTTTCACGAAAGCACAGTTTAAAGCCACACCTGTCCTCTTAGCCAAGTAACTACTGACAGTCCCGAGCTTCCCGGCATGACACTCACCATTTCAAACTGTTGACTTAATGGAAAACACAAACATTTTGGCGTTAAACAATCTAGACATCACTTAAGGACCGGGCGTGGCTTTGTACTAACGTGCCCGCACTGGGTATTTGAGTATTCTTGGTTTGTTGGACTACAGGAATGATGGTCAATTCTCACTATTCGATCAGGTAAAAGTAGCCCAAGTGTTGGCGGTATGTGTTGTAGATTAGCTGCCTTCCCTCTAGTCTGTCAGTTTAAAGATAGAGAAGGCTATGCTTGCGTAGCTTTTAGAGACAGTTCTAAAAACCAAAAAACAAACAATCTGTACACCTCTTAACATTGGGTGTGACCCCAACCGGCGGTAATATGGAGTAGACCAGTAACGTCACCTGAACACCACTTAACATTGGGTGTGACCCCAACCGGCGGTAATATGGAGTAGACCAGTGACGTCACCTGAACACCACTTAACATTGGGTGTCACCCAATCCCACGGTAATATGGAGTGGACCAGTAACGTCACCTGAACACCACTTTAAACATGACACCAGTGCCTCATGACTCCCCTACGAAATATAATTTGACCGGCCGTCAAATTGTCAGAACCATCTTGTAAAATTATTTTAATATTTCTAAAATTAATATTACCAATGTTTAATTAAGATATGACGTGAAAAGCAAGGCAAAAATAATGTCGAATTCAATATATTTAAGTTTGATTGTAGAGAATTTTTTTTCTGTGAATAATCTATATTTTCTTACAAATAAATTATAAAGAAGTTGATATTTGAAACACAATCATTATATACGATGTATTTTGTTTTTGTATGTTTCCGTTTAAATAATTCAAAACCATACCCGTGTAAAACATCTATATTTACAATTAAAAGGAATACAACATTAAATCATTACACAATAAATAGTTATTAAAACATAGACTTGTTATGATTGGGACTCTAAAACTCACATAATTATTGACGTTTCTGTAGCGCCATCTAGACTTAAACTACCCAGAGTTACGAAACATCTGTCCAGTACTATATTGCTTCTAGACCTGTACCAACTTGTTGTTGTTTTTCGATTGTTTCTCTGATATTTAATTCTATTTTAAATTCTACCTGTTTTATCAACTGTGTTAGTCTGAGATGTTAATGTTCTGCTAATACCAATTCATTTAGATCATATTTTTCTACCGCGTTTTTATGTTCCGTGATCCTAAATTTCTACACATTCGGCCAATGTAAGTTTTGACCACAGATACAATGAATTTTATAAATCCCACATTTATCAATTTCTTCTATCCTGTCATTTGCATTCGTGTGAATAGTTAATTTAAAATAATAAATAATATTCAACGTAAACTGGTACACATTTAAAAACATTTTATTTAGGCCTATCTAT